TGTGTGTGTGTGTGTGTGTGTGTGTGTGTGTGTGTGTGTGTGTGTGTGTGTGTGTGTGTGTGCACGTGCGTGCGTGTGTCTGGTGAGGGGCTGCGTGATGTCGCCTCATATCTTGTATTGCCTTTGCAGCATAGGGTCTCTGTCGGCATGCAGAAGTGTGCGCCTATATATGTGTCGGTGAAACTCCGGCGAAACAGTTTGTCACAGCCCCTCGTTTGTTGTCCTCTTCTCTCTCTCTGCCTACGGTTTACCGGGCAGTTCTGTTTGTGACGATATATGTATATATGTATCTATATATATTTATATATATGCAGAGAGAGAGAGAGAGAGAGAGAGAGAGAGAGAGAGAGAGAGAGAGAGAGAGAGAGTCGCTCGGTATAGATTCTATTCTGGCACCAATGCACCCGCAGGTCGAGGCGGTTCCCGAACCAAGAACTACGAACTCTGCAGGATTGGAAACGTTCATCGCTCAAATTCTTTTTATTTTTTTCGTCTTCCGAACCTGCCGCTTCGCCAAAAGTTTTTCAGATTCGACGATCTTATCGCTTATCCGGTCAGGATCTCTATTCGGGATTTCTGCGTCTTTGCCAAGTCGCCATTCTGCTTTTGACTTTCTGTCTGCTTCCTCTTCTTTCTCTCTTCTTCTTCTTCTTCTTCTTCTTCTTCAATGCTCTGGAGGTATTTGCCAGAGCCACCGGCCCGTTCGGGGCAGCGTGGAAGGCGCTGACCGAGCGGCCGGTCAGGTTACTCAGTGACAAGCTATCGGGAGGTAGGGGCGAAGAAGAGCAAGTTACAGGACCCCGTGCACAGTAGGGAACGTAGGTGGGAAAGGGAACAAAGGTAGATACCCGGTCCAGCTGCTTACAACCGGGCTGTACATTAGGTGAGCACGGAAGCAGAGTGCAGGGGGGTGGAGGCAAAGGGAGCGGTGCAGAGTAGGGGAGAGAGAGGAGATTAGCCCGGTGTAGACCGGGATGTACATTAGTAGTTAGAATAGGGGAATCCCTGGTCTGGGTGACGACAACCGGGTTGTACAATATTGCCCTCGAGGAGCTGGGCTTAGGTAGTAATGTGAGCCGGAGGCAGGGAAAAGCAGGTAGGCCGGAAGGTGGTAAAGGGTGTGGGCAGGGTGAAGGCGCGAGGTAAGGAGGCACCGGAAGGTGCTGGATGTGCGGGCAAAGAGAAGAAAAAAAGGGGGCTGGTAGGGCCCAGAATAGAGTCGCCGGGGCCAGTAGTGTCTAAACCGGTTAAGTAGGGTGGACGTTCCAGACTAGCAGGTACCAATCTCGAGAAACGGGCCTGGTGCGTAGGTGGGTATAGCCGGATTGAAGTTGGAGTCCACAGTACCGCGGAAAGGAAAAACTTTGCCCCAAAACTGTTTCCAGGACCCCACAGTCTGCGGCAGATGTCCACAGAAAGGTGAAATTTCTCCCGCAAACCGTTTTCCCAGACCCCACAGACCGAAGATTTCGGCTTGGAAAAACGTAGTTTTCTGTTTTCACATAGTCTGCAGCCTGGAAAGGTCTCACGGGAGGATTCCTTGCCGCAATTTTGTGCCAACTCTACGGCGTAGGGGGGAGGGCGTGTCTGTCCTGGAAAGGTCTTGGAAAAGTCTCACGGGAGGCAGCAGCCAATAGCGACCAAGATTGCCACAAAAAAAAAAAAGGAAAGACAAAGAAAACAAGAAAAAAAGAAATGAGTGCCGACGGAGAAAGGCAACGATTGGCTCAACTGATTCCCAAAGGGTTTCCACGGCGCATTTGGTCCTCCGCGGTGGGGTCCCCGCAGAACTGCTTTCCAGCTTTCCAAAATTCTTTGCCCTTTTTTTTTGGCTGGACGGTTTTTCCATCCTTTTTCCTGTGGGGTCCAACTCTTAGCCAGATTCGCACCCTAGGCCCCTACAGCTGGCTGGTACACGTGCAATTTATAACAACCTGGCGCAACGGGAGGCACACAGAGGTTGGCGGGAAAATGGGGTGAACACAGAGGTTGGCGGGAAAATGGGTTGAACGCACGGGCTTGCCAGGGGCAAGGTCCCACTGGCGCAAACTAGGAGATTTCGGCCCTTGATCTCTGCAATCTACGGTCAGTATCTCCTAATTCGTGCAAGTGGGACCTAGCCCCACGTCGGTTGCATAGGAGCTGAGTCGGAGTCCGCCCAGTCAGTCGCAGACGTGGAGTGAGTGTCAGTATATCTTCGGAGGGCAAGGCCAGAATGGCCCTCTTTGCTCTGGGTGGCGTGGCACGGTGGATGCGGGAAAGTGGTTGCCCCTTGATAAGTCCTGGTGCGCAGCCAGGCGAAACGCGTCGGGGAATGTGCGCGTTGAGCATACTGTCAGGAGCTTTGCTGAACTTTGTTGAGACATGGACTCATAGGGATCGGCCTCGCTATTGCACTACTTATTTCACTTCTTCTTCTTCTTCTTCGTCTTCTACTTCTTCTTCTTCTCCTTCTTCCTCCTTTTAGTATTATTACTATTATTATTGTTACTATTGTTATTTATTACTATTGTTATTATTTGTATTATTATTGTTATTATTTTTATTATCATTGTTATGGTAAGCTATGCGCGTGACTTATGCTGATATCAGTGATATGGCGATGATTCTAACGAGATTAACTTATGCTCATGGTGATATATTATATGGGGATATGGTTATTCTTGTTGCAATGCGGTGGTACTTGCCAGCATCATTCGGCTCTCGACGCCTCCCGTGAATCTGCTTTGACCTATTCGGCCTTGACCATGGTTGACCAAACTGAGTCAACTACTGAAGTTACTTAAGTCGGTGAACTGTGAAGGGTACAGGGTGTCAGGATGTAATTCCGCAGCATTGACCTGTATGACGGGTCATTCAGAATTTTAAGAGTATAGTCACTAAGGTACTTACTTCTTTTTACTCCCCCCCCCCCCCCCCCCCTTTCACTAAGTTACTTATTACTGCAGTCAGTTAGGTGTCTTGGGTGAGCTGTAGTCTTGCCTGTGTGACTGTCGTCTGACCTGGGTGACAGGCACCGTGACTGTTGAGGATGAGCGAAGAGGGTTACCCCATGAGCAAGGTCTCAATTGTGAGGTGTGAGCTGCCTTCAACCTTGAGAGAATTGCCGATTCTGGAGGTTCTGGTGTGAGGTAGGCGATGTGTGGAAGGGCCCTTGCCGCCTTGCTGATGACGGGCCAGAGGTGGACTTGATGACGATCTCAGTGATGTGGAAATAGCACACACTCCCATGTGCAGCTTACACTCTGCTCTGCTGCTGCAGGCCTGTAGAAGGGGTCCTGGGTTCTGGTGGTGGCCACCTAGTCCTGATGCGACATGAAATAATTCTTCGCCGGTGGGCGTGTTATACTATGATTGCGAGATAAGACTTGGTACTTTAAGTAACCTCTGGTCGTTCTCCTGCCGCAACCTGAAATAATTTTGAGACGTGCAAACGTGTCAGTAATAACATTGTTGAATTTGTTGGGTTAACTCCCAGCTCAACTGCGCATGCGGCATGCTGAGCCCTCCAACTAAGTATCCTGCACATTATTTACTCGAGTTGGCCCCCAGTTAAGGGGATCGGGGGTCGGAGAGGGTCGGGGGTCGGAGAGAGAGAAGCAAGAGATCGGTGAGTGTTGCCTGTACAGTTGACTGCAATAAAAGGGCTATTGAAAACTTATTTGTTAAAATGTCCCCACAATAATTTTGGGAGAACATCTATTTGTTCTTGGGCCAGAAGCGGAGGAAGGATGATGACCTCGGTTGAATCGGGTTGATGTGCTTTCCTTTAGGTACTTACTAGAAGTTTCAGTTAGAAAAGTCAACTTTATTGCGATATCCCCCCCGAACCCAAGCAATCCATGGATAAAAAAAGAACAAACAGAAAAAGAAAGAAATCCATGGATCCAAGAGAGGTTTTCCAACTTTTCCGTATGGCATTTGGCATCCGTCCTTTACCTGCCTGCCACGTGGTACGGCAAAACGCTTCACCCCTTCTTCCTCCTCCTTCGGTGGGGACGTGCCCACCATTTAGTGGCCAACACAACTCCTCTCGTCTCTCTGTCTTTCTCTCTCTTTCTCTCTCTTTCTCTCTCTCTCTCTCTTTCTCTCTCATTCTCTCTCTTTCTCTCTCTTTCTCTTTGTCTTTCTCTGTATCTCTCTTCCCCCTCTCCCGGCCATTCCGGGCATTCCCCCTTAAATTATTGAAAAACAGAGTTGAAAAGGAGGAAATTGACATCTCCCTCGCATTCTCTCTATGCACTAAAAAAACAACGTGAAAAGGGAGATGCCTATTACCACCTCTCTCTCTCTTTCTCTCTCTCTCTCTCTCTCTCTCTCTCTCTCTCTCTCTCTCTCTCTCTCTCTCTCTCTCTCTCTCTCTCTCTTGCTATTCCCCACTTTCTCCACCCCTCTCTCTCTCGCCCTAGGGGCTGCGCCCAGTCATTAACAATCGTCAAATGTCTTCCCTCACTCTCTCTCTCTCTCTCTCTCTCTCTCTCTCTCTCCCCGTCCCCTCCCTGCTTGTCCTTTCTCTGCCTCCCTGGCATTGCAAGAGAAAAGGAAGGAAAGGAGCACAAACACCTTGTTCCCCCCTACGTGCACCTAGTAGT